ATTTTGTAGTAGTTTAAGTTTAGCCATAAGCATAGGTTGAAACAGAAATCATGGAGAGAGAGGAGAGAGAAATGCATGGAGAGAGGAAGCTGAGGAAAAAGTGGGCGCCAAATTTGTACAGTATGACAGATTCTACTAAAACACGGAGTATCTAAGATGCCGCCAGCAAAAGTGAAAAATACATGGATAGAAAACTTCCAAAGATCGAAACTTCTACGAATCTCCGGAAGTGAACAGCTTTGGAAATGTCCGAAGACGTTCCAACAATATTGGAACAAATATATCCAATAGTACGAGTTTAATAGGAGCTCCACATGTTACGGTGCAAGGCCTGCAAGGAAAAGATGAGATATCGAAAAATCACAGATGCAACAATAATTTTGATACATAAATAATGGATTCAATTGAGAATTGTAAGAAAATCATTCTAGTATAAAGCAAACCCCATTATATTACAGATTTTTTACTCAACATTGAACATTATGTTAAGAAACAAAAAAAAAAGGATTAGAATGGATATAAAGAAAAAAAGGAAGATGATGCTAAAAAAACACAAAAGAATATCCAAGCACTCACACAGAATGCTCCTGCATTTATGACTAGTGATTGATAAAGGATTCTAAACGTAATTATCCTTTGACGATTACCACAAAGTCGCGGTGACCCATTATACACCTTCTACTAACTTCTACCGTGTACATTTAGAACCATCACAAAATCAGTACCTCTCATTCAGGTGTTTAGTGATATCAAAATTTTGAATGCTTTAATGTTCATAAGAAAAATGAAAACATGAGTTCCACAAAAGGATATTTGCAGGTTCAGATTCACTCTACGCGAGGTTCCGAATCCATTCCTGTATTTGTGCATGATATCCTATACTGCTATGAAGAGTTTGAAGAAACGGATCTAAGGAGAGATCGAAAGATACGCTACCGTAACTAGTAGCATGAATGAATTTTCCACGGCGCGGCATTTCGTGACCATAAGTCATCCTATTATGGTTAAGTGAATTTACAAAGTACGAAATACAATGTAAAAACGCGGATTTCTCACGTTTTAATGAAGTTTCATCGAGAAAGTGCAACGAATTAGGTCGTTGACGAGCGGATCGCAGCCGGTGGTGATTCTTCACTAAAACAAGTCGTAACGATGTGTTTCATCGGCTTCCAATAAATGCTTATATCGAAGTATCTCCCAAATAAAGACCGGATTTCTTAGTCATTCGCGTAAACTCGTACGAATGCATCGAAAAATTCTCTACTGAATTCGAAAACAGTGGGGGTCGATGTAGTTAATACGCGATGAACAACTGCTTCAGTAACAACTGATCTTAGTGAATTAAATTTTTTCTTTCAAGTAAAAGTATGGAAGTACGTTTCGATGCTAAATATTGATTACTATAACGATTTCACCAACAATCGTAAGAATTCTGACCGATTTCACTGAGATCTTGAGAAATAGTGAAAAATATTGACGAACGCGTACAAGTAACTATTATTGATATAATAACAAAATAATCTGCCTCATAAATTCATAAACTGTAGAGGTCCACCAATTGAGTTGCCAGCTGCTGCAATATTTTACAAGCTAGGTTTATCTCAATCCTGCACTTGCCTTCTTTCGTCAATAGTTTTGTGAGTTTTTACGGTTCTGAACAGTTTCTTTAGTACATCTATTGAACATCATGTTCGCCCTGAAATTCCTTAGATAAGCCTTGTGTTGCTATATAGAATTATATCATGGTTATTCTGAATTATGTTATTGTTTTTACATTCGGTCATTTTCTCTGTGTCTTTATTATATTCATTTCTCTTGATGTTCAGAATACAAAATGTTTTTGAGCGAGCACTCTCTAGGCTTTAAGGTCGACCCGTGCATCATAACAGAGTAAAGAATCGTTTCAAATGAAAATAGTGAAATGACGAAGACCCTTCCTGGTTTTACAGCTTCAAATACTAGTGGTAGAACAATGAATGTTTGTGTAAAAGTTTTGTTTGGGTTCTATGTCTATGAATTTGATTTCTTTTCACTTGATTTTTTGTGTGAAATCTTGAACAATTCCAAAATCCGACATCCTTCATTATATTGGCATCTTCTTCTTCTGTGCATGTGAAAGCACACTGAAAATGTTCAGAATCGTAAAAACTCGCAAAACTTATTGACGAAAGAAGGCAAAGTGCAGAATTGAGATAAACTTCGCCTGTAAAATATTGGAGCACCTGACAACTTAACTGGTAGACCTCTACAGTTTTTGAATTTTTGAGGCAGATTATTTTATTATTACATCAATAATGATAGTTACTTGCACGCATTCGTCGTAATAGCTATTAATAATGCAACTGATCATTATTTTTTACGTATTCTCAAGATCTCGATGAAATCGCTCAGAATTCTTACGGTTGTTGGTGAATTCGTTATAGTCATCGATTTGTAGCATCGAAATTTGTAGAATTAGGAAAAGTATCAATAGAAATGTTTTTTATTGAGTAGTTAATTTGCTTTCCCGACTTTAGAACGACAAAATAATTTGATAGGAGTATGAACATTTTACTACACAGAAAATAATCAAGACACACGTAATGTGAAGATTCTATTGAATATTTATAGAAACTTACAATGAGACTCGGAATGGAGAAAGAAGCAACTTATTGCAAACGAGAAAAAGTAGGTGGTAATTCACGGGAAACACTGTCTTGCCAAAATTGACGATAAGAGGATGAAGAAGAAAAAAGTAGAAGAAAAACGTAACGTAGAATTCGTCATTAACACTACTATGTCCTAAAATATATTGTTTTATAGAATTTTTTTGCTTTGGTTGAGCATTCGACGATTTTATAATACGTAATCTATGGAGACCAAAGGTGAACAAAAATTAAGTGCAGCACAAAACTATTTAAAAATGCACTATAAAAATGTTGAGATGTCAGACGATTTGCGAATACAAAAAATAGAACTATATATCCAATAATGTTGAGTGGTATGCAAAACTCTAAACCTTGGACGGGAATCAAACTGGCATCTCTCTCACCTTTTTCGGGAGCGCGTGCTAAGCTACTGGACTACGGGGCTTTTGTTCTACCACCACTCATATTTCAAGAATAAGATTTTTCTTCTTAATATTCCTCACAGTAGATTGTTATCTTACTCCACACATATAGTATAAATTAATCAAACATCACTTTTTACAGAATGATCATAATATTTACCATTTCAACTAATCTATAAATAAAATACTGGCTCTTCTCACCACAATCGTATCACTAAACTACATCGTCAAAGTTTTCTCATTGATAGTACCTTGTGAAATTTTTTTCAAATTATTAAAACTGCCCGGTTACAGCTTAGATTTGTAGCTGTATTGATGAGGACCACCCCTGAATACTTGCGAAGAAAGTGAAACAATTTCTTTCCAAGATTTCGGCAACATTCCACGCTTTTCAACTCTTGAGTTTTTCATTTTTTTCATTTCATTTCTTTCAAACCTCCATTTTTGAACACTTGCTAAGTTGAAATTCCTGGGAAATCTCAATCATAACAATTACTCCTAAAAACAAAGAAAATGGTGGAACAGAGATTCAAAAAAAAAACTGTTTATTCTCGAGTTAATGAAATTTCTTGAAGTTCGGCAGAACGATAAGTCGAAAAATGGAGTTATATCACCTAGAGAGTGCGAAAACTACAGGAAATTCAGATTTTTTGACTAGATCGAAATTCATCCGATCGCATTTTATGTGCTTGAAAAATACCTAAAAACGTGCAATGCATCCTGGAAGAATGCGAACTGAATGTAAATTTGCAGAAACAAAACACACATTTAATCGCCAATAACATCAATAATAATAGTAATAACAATAACAATGATAATGACAATGATTATTTGTAAATAAGGGATAAGAGCAAAATCTTCTATAAAAGCCTAGTGATAAGAAAGAAAATGGAAACAAAGACAGTGAAAGAAAAAGAGAGAGAGAGAGAGAGAGAGGGAGGGAGAGCGCAAGAGAGAGAGGAACATTATAAAAGAGCAAAAAAAATTAGCGATAACCATAAATGCTAGTCCAGTACTGTAGTTACTAGAGGATAAGAATAATAACGATAGGAAAGCTCTACACTGACCACTTCGCTTCGGAAAAAAATTTTTAGATTAGCCTGACAGCGCGAAAGAAAGGAAATAAAATAAAGAAAAAGCGGAAGAGGTAGAGAAAGAGAAAGGGAGAGAAGACGGAAAAAAAATGAAGAAGAGCTCGGTGAGAGGTGAAGAACATTCTTTGGTAGAATCTTACTAAAAACGATGGATGTAGTAAGTATTGACGAAACTTTTACACTAACCTATGAGGTCGACTAGAGTAAAACTATGCAACTGTCTTAGTGTATAACAGAACTAGTCTCTTTGACGGTTTACACTTATAGCTAGCGTAATGAAAATAGTATACTAATTAACGATACGCAGACATCTTTGAAACATCAACGATGAGCACAGAAATAGCGATCGTGAATGGTTGTGACGGACGGACGGACAAACGGACGACGGAATGGAGACGACGAGACGCCGACGATGCGACGAGACGACCGGATTACTACGAGAGTGAGAATGAGCGAATAGCACGGGAAACGAAGAGTGCACAGACGAGAAAGAACAAATACAATATAATGGTGATGTATTTGTTTGAGTAAAATTCAAATAAGATTTTGTTCTGTTCATCTATCGATACTTTTTTGCTTAGCAGATAAACCAATAGTTCCTCTGAAATTTTTTCTTATAATATTGAAGTACTGGAAGTTTGAAGTGTTCTCGAAAACTTTTTAGAGATTTCATTACTTATCCAATTTCTATTGTTCTTTAGAGCTTTAATCAACAAGCTCCAGCATCCAATCTAATGCGACGAGACCCAAGAAGAAAAAATAATAAACGAAACTTTGTAAAATTTTTGAAACAGAAAACTAGAAAAAATAACAAATAAACATAATACCTAAGAGAATTGAGTGGTGAGCAAAAACGCGACCTCAGGCGGGAATCGAACCCACGTTTCATCCTATCCGGGGACGCGTGCTCTACCACTACACCGTGTAGGATGAAACGTAGGTTTGATTCCCGCCTGAGGCCGCGTTTTTGCTCACCACTCAATTCTCTTAAGTATTTTGAAAAACATCATAACATTGCGAAATGCATTGAAATACTAATTCCGAATATCAAAATAGACAAAATAATAAATTTAGAAAGCTTGAACATAAAAATTATATTGAAATAAATTCAGCATCGAGAGAATTACATTGTCTCTACAACTTCATGCTAGTTCTTCTATTTGTTTAAACTGATCAAAAAATTCTTATTTAACTTTTTCTTTCTATTTTTAGTGGTAGATTCAGTTTACACTTTCTCCTAGTAGTACTGTAGACAAATCTACTAAAATTTTTGCCGACTTTCATCAAAGACATTCGTCGTCGTTTACAATTAAGACGGGTTTTTTAATTTGTCAGCATTTGCCGTTTACAAACCTATCGGCTAGGTAGCAGAACACCATAGCATTAGTAGTTTACAACAATCTGAATCTTTGATTTCATCATAAATTACGTTCGCGTAGGAGGTTGAACTTCAAGCTTTTCAATGAAACTTGTGAGAGAAGTGCCATCTTAAAAATGAACGGCATACCTTAGATGATATTACTCAGATGATCAATCTTGAGAGAAAAGCACAAAAATTTCATAAAATGTAACAGTTTCCACGTTGCCTGCAGTAAACTTAGTAAGGAAATTCTATGAGCCGGTGAGAGTGGATGAGGAATAAGGTGGAGTTTTGAAGAACGAAATATAAAACGATACTGAAGGCCGAAAGTATCTTGTTCGAGTGAAGAATGGCTCCTAATATGGCTTTATTGTTTATAGGTCGCTACTTATTAGATTTACTAACATCTAGAAGCATAATGGGAATGCACAGCAACTGCTATGCAGTTTGGCCGCTTGCCAAACAATTTACAAGTCCTCCTGATGACTCAAATACTCCAAAGAAGAGCGAAATGAATAGGGATGAAAAATGAAAAGAGAAAAGGAAAGGTATGAACGGAAGGAGGGTGAAGAAAAAAAGACTTTGCGCAGAAAAAAAGTCAAAAGTCATAAATTCTGATGCTGTAAAAACTCAGATACATTCCGTAGATTTTTTTCAGCTTCGTAAAAAGTGCGTACTATATGAACTGTGAAGAAAATGGAAAACTATCAAATGCGATCGGTACACTTTTTCGAGACAGGTCATCTGAAATTGTGCTTCATTCTCGTGCTTTATTGTGCTAATTCATTCATCATTGTTATCGTGGTTCATTAATTATTGGAACTACTCCGTCTGTCAAGAAATTACTTAAAAAATCATGCTCGACCAGCGTGAAGTATTTCGATTAAGGAAGAGGGTTTATGAATTCTCAAGTCGCATCCAAGTCCTCAGCAAAGCGACTACATCTGTGAACGACGGAAGGTTGAAAACTAGCGAAGCCAATGAAAGAGATGCTGAAGCCGAAAGGACATGTGAAGACGAGTCTAAATAAATGTATTATGGTTATAATGATAATTGTTGTATACCCAGTGGTGCAGAGTAATGTGCAAATACTTTTGCGTCAGCTGGGATTCGAACTCACATTTCACCCTATCCAGAGGCGCAGTATATCATAGCATCATAACACCGCCCTAGGTGGTCAAATAGAATGAATTCTGAGTGATTATTATTATTGTTATAATTACAACACTCGGCGTTAAATTTACCACACAATAGGAATTCCAGTGCTTTTCGCAATCGATTCCCTCACATGACCTTTCACGAAGACCTCGTAACTTCTTTGCATGTGGGATTTACTACTGCTTTAAAATTCTTGGCTTTGTCATGAATATTTTTTATGCTCTCCGAGCTACAATCCTAAGAGAGCGTGCCAAGAGGTTCCTAGATCATATGGACAGCGAAGAGCTTTTTGTACAAGTCTAGCAATAATTTTCTTTTCCTTAGAAGGATTGAAAGATTTGGTTGGCTTGGTTTAAGCCAGCCGATTTTTGCCTATAAATGAACGCCATCTGTACCATATCCATTTGCACATACACCTTCTTATTAGCAATATCTATTATTAGAAATATTAGTAAAGCATTATTTTCTCTATAATAACTAGTCAAGATTAGGGTTACGTTGTAAGGAAACTAGAAACCATCACAAGTCTTAATCACTAGTCAAAATGGGAGAACTATTTTGCAGATATTATCACGAGTTGGCGTTAGCGTAGAAAAACTGACAAAAATAAACAAAGAAGTGAGAAAGTTTCTGAGGCCATTTCAATATATTCAGGAACATGTTGTTCGTCGACAACTAATGAGAAAATTCTCGATTATCAGCATAGATGAGTAGAGAAATTCACATCATGTAGGGCTTACATTTGTCCACAACTTTGAGATTGCAGATTAAAACTGTTCCTTCAACATTAGCTTTGCTTGGATACATATTTTGTGTATAACCGTAAACAACAGCGAACATTTGGAAACAAGCCAATATTTGATCAAGAAATATGTGGCGCATCTTCTAGGCAATGATTAACAACGAGCACTTTATATTTCATCCCTTTATTTTATGAAAAAAATTGCAGATTTCAATGGCTTCCACTTCACTTAATAAAGTTCTATACTAGCTGATAAGTTGGCTCAAAGTTGAGCGATTGACGTTTGTGCACAGATGGGCCAAATATAACACAGATTTGAAGCAAAAGCACTACAAGTTATAATTTAGCGCTCTGAACTAGAGTAGTTTGAAGTTTGCATAGTTTGTCGCATGCGTACATTGCGAATCCTCGGTGAGCGAATCTGAATCAATTTAGATCAGCCCACTGTTCTAAAGTGTCGCTGGACTCAGGCTGAATATCCAATCACTGTTATATCTGCTGGGTTAACTTATACCTTCCATACACTTGAACAAGTACATCCGTACATTTAACCAAGAAGCCAAGACAGTTCGAAGCACTCACCATTGAATTAGCATTACATGAATTTTCACTCTTAGATCTCGTCAACCGACGTAGGATGGATTTTTTGCCGCAGAGACCTCTGAGTTTTGATAACTATTCTCTTTTCAAAGGGAATAAAATTGCAAAAGACCTTATGTATGTGATATAAGTTGTATGCACTTTACGTCTTCCCAGCGAAACAGAATTGATAGCTTCGGCGAGTAGAGCGGATAGATGAAAGCTTCCACCTAAAGTTTTATCAACGCTGGACTTTACTTGAAAGCAGTCGAATCTTTTGCGATATACGCAGGACAGTTGATTGTTAGGAATGGTGTGTAAAATCCATTTATTCTAAGTCAAGTAAGAGTTCGCTGTGAGTTGATGTACATTCGTTTGAACTTCAAAACGGCAAAGATTATCGAGAACATATGCATTGAAGACATAGACGTGTGTCTTTATGTGCAATAGGCATGATTGATGACATAAGACGGGACAAATTTCCCGCAAAAACTGAACAACTACGGTAGCGTCAATTGAACACAGGAAGACAGTCAGTAAATTGAAAGTTCTTTGATCACCGCAATAATTATCCGCGGGAATTCATTTTCTATCGAAAATCTCAGTCAACTTGTGATTTTTCATTCAGCGGCGAAACTCATAGTTTCTACAATTTTTAATTAGTGTCGTTGACCTGATTAGTTGAGTTTAATATTTATCCAATATTAATAACATAGTTGAAATTACCAGAATCACCAATTTGCACGATGACTGCAGTAATTGACGAGTTCTATTGAGGTTAGAAGGATGTTTACAACTATTCCAAACAATGATTCACCCACACATACACAGCAATGGCAGAACTGGCCAAATTGGTCATACGAGAATCTCCCTCTCCAATAAAAAGCTGACCAGAAATCAGTAGAAAGCACACCGTACTTGTTATCATGAAGTGACCCCTCTACAAGTTCACAATGGTAAGTGTGAGGATGACGAAGGTCTAATCAAAGTGAACGGATGACTTGAATAAGCCCCAGGGTTCGAATTGTGCCATTACACCACACGTCATACTCAGAAAATGATTTCGGCGTACTAAATACTTATATGGTTGAGGTTCAATGTAGTTCAATAGTTACAGAGGTCCTTCAGCTGTTCGAGACGGAGCCTTTCTTGTTTCTCTCAATCTTTTGCATAAATCTTGGCATTCAGCACCGTGATTTCTAAGAACGTCTTCCTAATGCACTATAGCAGCAAAACTAAGACCATGTTTCACATTCGGTGCAATTTTTTTGCTTGGCTAGGGCTACTGTATAGCTTAACAATGGAGTTTTAGCACCATTTCAACAGCTCACTGTGGTTTTGAACTATGTTCGGTTTTTGAAAAGGTCTCCATACAGAGGAAAAATCACGTTTCACACTCCGAGATATACACGCAACGAGTATATGAACGTGTAAGGGAAATCGTCAGATTCCAAAGTGAAAATTCAAAAACTTTTAAAAGGGCGAAAAAGTTTTCGAATAAAGAAAGGAAGTCGCGCCATTTCGAAGTGGCAGTTGAAATCACTGCGCGTAGCGCGATTCAAAAGAGCGTGATTTTCGTTATCTATTCAGAAAGTTCCTCTCTGCTTGATGAGATTTCGCAATTCTCGTAATATAACTTAGGAATTTTTTTATTGCTGTTTGGATAAGAGTCTAAGTTCGGTTCGTTTGCGGCTATGAAGTTATGAAGATTCGCTATGACGTTCAAAAGACGGGTTGACTACTTCGTTGTGAAACGTGAAGTTTTCGTTTCTAGAACGCTCTGTGGAGACCTTTTCAGAAGCTTTCCAGCTTCAAAATTGCGATACTTTGTCTTTTAAAAGCTACTGGAAATCTGGGAGAAATGCTCTGTCCATCGAAAAAGGCCTCTAAGTAATGATGGTACAAAAACGCACCATGCCATTCCAGTCTGGTTAATACACATGTGATCCCCACGTTTTTCATTATGTGCCAAAACTCAGATTGATACAATCAACTTATTCAAGTAGCTGACGTTTCGGTGTTTTTTGCCTTCTTCAGTGCTTGGAAAAGCCGCGTTGCACGCAACCTAGTCAACCAAACACCTCC